TATCGTACTCGATACGAAGAATAAGTACGTTTATTGTAGAAAGTGTGACTTAGCGTCGCAAGAAAGTATTAGGAAATTTGTCACACAATTTAAGAAAGGTGATTGACGTTTAGTACACAGCTATTCTGATTTTTTTTTTTTTACTTTACTTAACTGACAAGTGTCTATCCTGTTTACGTTGTTTACAGAATATGGTAAACTTCATATACTTATTAATAACGCCGGCGTAATGAGATGTCCAAAGAGTCACACTAAGGATGGTATCGAGATGCAACTTGGGGTAAATTACATGGGGCCCTTCTTGCTCACAAACTTGCTTCTGGACGTCTTGCAAGCATCCGCGCCATCCAGAATTGTGAATTTGGCGAGCGATGCCTATCGTACTGCCGAAATAAATGTGAAGGATTTAAATTGGGAGAATGATTATGACGCTGGTGGAGCGTACGCGCAAAGTAAATTAGCTATGATGCTTTTTACTCGTGAATTGGCGAACAGATTAAAAGGTGATTTAGCATAAAGTACATAATTTTCCTCGTTTCGCGATGACCGCTATGCTCTACTTTCCACTTACTTTTTCAGGAACTGATGTTACCGTGAATGCTGTCCATCCTGGTATAGTTGATACAAATATAACGCGGCATATGTTTGTATATACCAACTTCTTTACCCGATTTCTTCTTTACCCATTCGCTTGGCCATTTATTAAAGCACCTTTGCAAGCAGCTCAAACCGTTTTGCATGCAGCATTAGATCCTAGTCTTACAAATGTTTCCGGATGTTATCTCGCGTAAGTATACCATCGAAAATTGAACAAACGATAAACGTCGCGAATGTGATATCGATGTCATTGTTATATTTGCTACAGCAATAGTGAAATCAAGGAATTAACAGAAGAGGCCAAGGACGATGACCTAGCAAAGTGGTTGTGGAAAGTTGGTGAAAAGTGGACAAAACTAAATGTTGCATAAATATATGTACGATAGAAATATACAGTTGTCAGTTGTAATTTGTTTTTAAATAAAATATGAAATTTAAACACGTTCTTGAAATTCTTTTCCTTCATAAAATATTCAAATGTTTTATTGAAGTATAAAATAACATGAGATGTCGCATAGTCATTCTTCGCACGATTTGAGATTTATGTGAGAAATCTTATCGATGTAAGATTTAGTACATCGTTTTTGTAAATTAATTAAGAAATATTTGTTTTAAACTAATCTATCTCGTATTAAATTTAACGTTATTTAAACAAAATTTTTACTTTGATTGAAAAAGCTATTTATACAAATTAATTTATTACTACTACTTCTTGCTAAATGCGAAGAAAGGATATAACTCTAGAATCGTTCTGCTTTTCAAGTTAATTTTCGAAAAGTAAAAAAATTCGCATTTTTATTGATCTAAAGGGAGGGAAAAAAAGAAAAAAGAAAAAAAACTGTCCCAATATGCCAGCACAGTTTATCATCGTTCATTAATGCAAAGCATATCTTTTCTTGAAAAGAGTTCCATGATAAAAAGATTCAGAATATTTTTGAATAATGACGGTAAAGACGAGAAAAACAAAGTTACAGGTGAACATATGGTGTGTTACCTGTTGAAAACAGGCGTGGCTATGTAGTTCAACGTTTACGTTTTGTGCACAGAGGCGCCAGTAGACATGTTAAGATTGTCAAGGATGGTTTCATCGTTTCATCTAAAATGTTGACATGTTGGACCTGCAGCTCACAGGTTCCTCTCTAGTTATTTCAATAAATGGATTTAAGGAACATGTATTGAAACAAGGAGGTTGAACAGTTTGTACGTTAAACTAACACCACATTAATACAATGTTAACGTCTTCAATCGCTGATTAATAATATCGTTTTACAGAATTGATCGTCGATTTGTCATCATGGTGCCGCAATTGTGGGAATCGGCGGACAAAAGCGTCAAGAAAGAAGTGTTAAAGCCAGGTGTGTTTACCAAGAAGCCAACGGAATGCTCCACGTGTACTGTTATTGTGGATAAGATAAATGTTACTGGAACATCTGAAGCGGATTTGAGAGAGAAGTATCATAGCGTTATTCTTGATGGCGAGCCCGAGAAGACTGTGATTGTAGGAGATGCCAGCTCAGAAATTGACGAAAATGTTGAGAGAGCGATTTGCATGATGAATGTCAGTGAGAGGAGTCTCGTTACCATTGTCCTGTCTCCAAAACGCTCAGATGAATCTATAGTTAGCAATGAATCCACAATAGTTAAGTTCGAGATCACATTGACTCAGTGTAAACGTCACAAACCAGTTTGGGAATGGAGCGCGGAGGAAAAGTACGAAGTGGCTTTGAGATACAAAGAGAGAGGTGCCGAATTGTTCAAGGACTCCCGAATCGTAGATGCGTTCCGCAAGTTCAGCAGGGCTTGCAAGCTTCTGATAACGTTGGAGCCGATAGCGGACTTGGAATTAGACAAGCAATTGGAGTACAATATTAATGATTTAAGACTTGCGTTGTACAACAATATGGCTATATGTCAACTGAAGCGAAAGAACTTTCAGCATGTCGTTACGTTGTGTACCAAGGTGTTGGATAAGGATGGAATTAATGTTAAGGCTTTATATAGAAGAGGAGTGGCGTATGGCAGTATGGGAGATAACGAAAAAGCTATAACAGATCTGAAAGCGGTACTTGCCTTAGAATCTAGTAATCACTCGGCGAAAGAACAGTTCGATGTCTATAACACCAGGTTGCAAGAATCAATTCAGAGAAATAAAGACATGATGAAAAGAATGTTTAAGACTTAATAATAAATTTTAAGTATTTTGTATATAAATTTAATTTTTCGAGAAATAAAGTATATTTATTTTATAAATAGAAATATAAGATTTTTATTTTTATACGTAATAATCTATTCTTATTTATCTTAATTATTTTTATCAGCGCACTACCGTCACATGTAATTATCATTATATAATGTGTTTGTGTCCTAAACGAAGTAATAGCATCAAAATTAAAAAGTTGTGCTGCGTGTAGTTATAGAAGTAGATATATATATTATTTATTTCGTAATCTTTTTATTACAATAAGTGAAACTTTTTATTACAATATTTATTAGTATAAAATAGATAGCTGAAAGATAGAATTATGTGCAGTAAATATACATAATGCATCCTACACAAGTTTTCCTTTTATGATACAAAATTTTTAATCCAGGTAACTTTGTCAATAGCCGCGACTACAAATTATTCAATAGTGTCATGTTTGTATATTTTTAATTACATCACAATTGTGTAAAATATATGAGATATTACATGTTCTCCTTTCATACAAATATCGGTATCAGCAAATGACTTGAACAATCTGTTCGTTTAACCGTCATATATTTATATCCAGTTCTTAATTATTTTATAAAATTGCATAACAATATAACTGCTCTAATATGAAAAAAATCATGGTTTAATAGTCAATTGATATCATGTATATACATATTATCCCTAGTTTGATATTGTGATGACTAACTTGGGTTAATACGTAGTCATATGCTGATTTACTTATAATCTATGAAATTAAAAGTGAAATTTGAGGAATTCTATAAAATTAGTAAATAAAATTTAGCAACGGGACACACACAAAATCTTGGTAACCCGAAATTAAATTTTAATGGCACCTCCATAACCATACATTTTCGCTTAATTCTATTCTCCTACATACATTCATTCTGTATAAAATACAATAAGATGACGAATACGGCTATATATTAATAATACAAAACTCATTATTTCCTCTTGTACTGCATTTCAACTAATAAAACAAATACATTAATCGAGAATATTTAAGCTGCCTGTAGTATTTATATCAGTTAATAGAGATACAAAAAGATACAATTACAAAAAATAATGCACTTTAAATTTTGAACCTATCATGTTACAAAGCAGCAATTATTTTTTAGGGTATAAATGTGAACTTGTTTTTTTACGTACGTCTTCAAGTAGTAAATAATTCAAAATATCGATACATAAATGAATTAGTGTTATTAAAACCACCACCAAGTACGCTTCTAATTTTTATTATGTTAGGGAAAGTATCTTTTGACATAATATGCTATATATTTTTTTCAGAACGATAATATATGTTATATTTAATAAACTGTAATAATTATTATCTGTCAATAAAACTTTGCAAGTCCAATGTTATAATTCGTTAATAAATTGCGTGTTTAAAAATTAGAATTCTATGCAAGTATAAATAAATTCATTTCTCTATCAAGGTATACGTTGTAGATCGGCTACAAAAGTATATTAACAATCGCTTGGCAAGACTTGGTAGAGTTTCAACACATGCATACGTCAAATTATATTACCAAAATTACTCATTGAACAAAATTCATGGAAACAAAAAGTTAAGTTTTTTTTTATATATGTACATCGCTTTTAGATAAACGTAACATTACAAACTTGATAAATTTCAAGCAGTAATATTTGCCAGTTTCATTCAATGAGCAATATAGGATATGGAGTCCAGTACACTTACGACACAAATTTGATTACTATTAACAACGTGTTGGCAATAAAACTTATATTACTCTTAAGTAAACCAATATAATTGGGCAATTTCGAGATATTGCATTTAATAAAGTCATACACTACACTCTACAGCAATATGGCGTGTGAATATCTATATCGGAGTTAGTTAAATAAGTTTCTAAGTATTTTTATCACTTTTTCTTTTCAAACCATGTAGAATGTGAATAACATCGTGCGATATATACATTCTTTTTTCTTTTTTTATTAAACAGTAGTCCAGTACAACTCATGTAGCACATTTCTGGCACAAATAAAATCTGAACTTCGTTAGTCCAAGCATATAAATAAGACGTAAAATAACAAGAACATAATCTTGAGACATAATCTATGCAAAACAAAATCCTTCTTATTAAAACAAAAAAATCTACTGCAAAATGCATTTTGAATGTAATAGATACAACAAAAAAGCTTCATATATTTAATGGAAATGAACAAAAAGAGCTGTTACATAAGGACTTAATTTCCTAACGTTTCTTAATATTTTCACAAATGCATTTTTCTACCTTTTAATAATTTGTAATAACTTTAAATATATTAACATCCCTATGATAAAACTTTCAGGTCAAGCTACAATAATAATATTTTTCACCAGTACAAGATTTTATTTTTACAACATTCATACCAAGGATATACTAGGCAATACTAGTAATCACGGTTGCCATCAATCTAACGCTGATTTATAATTAGAATACATCGTATATACATTCACAGTCATTTTCAAATTAGTGCTTCCAAGCCATAATGTTTAATCCAGTTTTAAACAAAGAGAAAACTATTCATGGCGGTACGTCAAAAGATAACGATATTGTAAAATTTAGTTATGCCACTTAATATTAACACATAAGGATGCAATATTTCGATTTGTTTGAACAATCGGGATATTATGGGAATGAATATTATAATAATTTAGGCTTGCCATTGGCAGTGACAGTGGCGTTCAATGTTGAATTCGTTACCGCTATTTCAGCAGCCTGAGCCACTGCTACAGACACGGACTTCTCCACAAATTGTTGGTAGACGGGCTTCATGAACTGAACAAAAGTAAAGATAATTCTTTCCATCAGTACCGCACTGTTTTATGATATGCGACACTATAATTGTATATGCTATATTCCAAATTGCAAGATTATTTTTTAGCTACAAGATGCAGCATTTACTTTATGAAATTTAATGCGTCAACATGGAAGAAATATTAATAGTTACACGGAAGAAATAGAGTTTTTTGATCAAGCGTATATAGATGTATATAGATGTTTGGAAAGAAAGGTGTAATCAGTGTTAATAGAAAGTTATCAAATATATGAATGTATATGTAGCCGAATGTCATACCTTTTCGATATTTGCTCCTGTTAGCTCTCAGCTTATGACAGGAATAAAAAAAAACAATAAAAGAGAGTGATATTAATAGTTATGCTTCCATTATGAAACGGCTCTGGTTAGTAAGAAAAAATGTGCAAAACATAGATGTGTAAGAAACATAAAGAGTTAAAGAGAGAAGCAATTCGGAATTGAAGATAATTAAAGACTAAAATTTATACAAAAGAAGAAAAGCGTGTGATCAGATATAGGCTACGTTTACACCCAGCGACCTGATCGCGGCCTGACCTATATTGTGACCCGAAGTAGGTCCAGTCATCATTCGTTTACACCGAAAGAGACCTAAAAATTGACGGGATCGTATTTGGGATCGCCCTGAATTGCAGCGAATCCAAACAAGCAAATAAAGCTTTTAGGACGTGATCGCGCGTTTACATCGCAAATGATAACGGCCTATTTCAGGTCGGGTCACTAAAATACGCGGCCTGACCTGAAGCCAGGTCCGGTCGCCTATCAAGTGTTTACAGCAGGCCGAGCAGCCGGCCTAAATAATTTAGGTCGAATTTGAGGTATAGGTCGCGGCCTAAATTCAGGGCGTAAACGTAGCCATTATTGCCATGTCCACGAAGGTGACGATAAGTAAAATGATATATAGGTATTGCAAATGCAATTACAATAATGAACAGGATTAGGTATCTTAAAGTATACGTTAATTTATAACAAAGATGAGCACATAGCCAGACCTGTTGCAATAAAAAAATGCTACATATTAATTGTTAGATGAACATTATACTATGTTAATAATATGCAAGATATACACATATTGTGACAAGTGATGCTTGTATGCGACATGTAAAAACAGACATAACTTTTTATGTTTTATGTGATTTTAATGCAAATTTGAATATTTGATAAATATTTTAAACCATTAATCGTAACTTCTCTTTCATGAATTATATTTTAGATTAAAACTAACGTTGAATATATGTTATAAAACGAGTACATTCCACGTTTATAAAACTAATAAGTGAATAAAAAAATCTCTACCTTTCTCAAATATCGTTTTTCATTAGTACACTGTGAACAATATAATTCTTATCAGAGAGGTGTTATACGATAAGAATCAAAAACAGGTATATAGGAAAAATAAAAAATTCTCGATAATTTCTAAAAAGATACTTGTACTTACATTTTCCCATATTGTACTGGCTAAGTCATCTATTTGTGTTCCAATTTCTCTGAATTCTCCGCTATACCTAAATAATATCCAAACAAAAGACAGTATTCAGAAATCCTAATCGTAGGATAATAGAAAATTGTAACAAATGCATTTATGAAAATATTAACATACCTTATATATGCCCACAAGACAAGCGTGAGGAGGCCAATACCCATAATAAGATTACATACATTTGCTAACGTGTACAGACCAACAAGACCAAATATTCCAGATAAAATGTACATAGTAACGGCAATTGCGAAGAACACTGCTGGCGTTCGCGCTGCTTTAAAAATATTTTTGCTCTCATTGTGCGCCTTAAATTGCAAGAAAGCGTCATCCATGTCCTATATTGTAAAAGAAAAATAATTTATGATAAAATAAATATTTAAGAAAGAATAAATAAATAAAGTTGCAAACAATTAGAAAAAAAAACAGCAGTTAATTAAATGCATAGTTGCCTTAATCAATTTTTCCATATATATTTGACTGAATTCTTCTCCGCCCATCTTTCGTTTATTCTGGAATTGACGAAGAGCTGAATTCATACAGTGTTGATGTTCGGATTCTAAGTGAGCGGTCGCTAAAAATGGTTTTGATCCACCGCACACGGTCTCCATCATCTGAAGGTATAAATCCTTAGCTTCTGCTACAGCGGTTAAATTGTTAGCTTCTGCTGTGGCCTGTAAATGTAAAACACGATTACTGCGGTTGAGATGATTGCTTGTTCCAGTTGAATGAAACAAAAGATCGACTTGTAAATAAAACCGTGAATTATAGAAACCGCTAAAATTATACGTACCACAAGCATACTTTTTGGTTCGGGAAGTTCATCTCCCTTGTAAAGATTGATGTAACTCTTGAAATATTCCAACAGATCTTTCGCTTTCACGACTTGACCGTTGATCTTCTTGGTCACCAGATTTTCCGGCGCCAGTATCATCGGTATGAGCACTTTCAACTGGTTTTTAAACTCTGCCTGTATCTCGGATAATCTACCGTCGAATATCGGATTCGTTGCGATCTCGAGACCGGGATGAGGCATGAGAAAACACGATATGTCCGAAAAGCAGGACTTAATGTGCTTTCGCAAGCTCTGCAATTCCGGATGCTGCCTGTCGGAAATCTCCAGTCTTTTGTCGAGTAATTTCTTTCCGCCGTTTGCACCGTAATCGGCCTCGTACGGATAAACCCAGTCTCTGACTAAAAATTGCAATCTTTGGAAAGGCGTGCTGTCGGAGCTTTCCAGCGCCAGTCTACCGTACTCGGTGAACAACTGCAGGTGCTGAAGATCATCCTCTTGAATATTTTGCGACAGATTGTATATTTGCACGGAGGACAGCATCGTACTCAACGCGAACACCGTCGCGCAGTCCCGCACCGTGGATTGACTGTCGAAAGCGCCTTGAGTGTCCATGAGAATCACAGCGATCTCTTCACCGTTCGCCAAAGTAGCAGGATAAACCTTCGACCACATCAATATTCCCGTGGTATCCCTTTCGGAACCTCCCCTCCATGAAAAACCACTTAGTGGCTCGTCCTCGGCACCCAACCAGGAATCAGTATCGTTGTGTAGCGTGTACTGTTGATTAATGTGATAAATTATTGGTAGTCATTCAGTAATCGGATTTTGTGTCGATCAATGATGAGCGAGTATTTGATAAATATCTAATTATCTATATGTATGCTCTTTTTTAATTTAGATACTGATGATTAAAGTAACAAAACGCCAGTTATCAAATCTGTGAATATCACCTACTTTGTTGTTCATGTAACGAAGAAAAAAGTCAAGAAGGAAACTTTTGCCTTTCCTGAAGGCACCCGCAACAGATACAACAACCACATTTCTATCTTTCACGTCGTCATGTAGGAGAATTTCTGACAATGCAGCTTCATCTAATTCGAAGGTATGATCTGGATGGGCAAGTACCACTTGCACAGGCCGCCCACCATCCGCGTCTTGCATTTGTGCATCCATCGGCGAGAGTCTTTCTATCCGATCGAGTTTTCCTAGATAATCTGCAAAAGAAAGCTGGATTAAAATATCTGTATACAAATAACAGATAATAATCAATAATAATAATAATAATGCAGATATAAAAAAGATTACGTCATTAAAAGAATAAAAAAATTATCTATTTTATCATTTTATCTTCAATATTAACGGAACATCTGAAAAATAAATTTTGTCTCAAATTACAAAATGATATCAGTACCATCGATACTTTGTTTCTCAAAAAAGCACGATGAAGAATATGACGAGGAAATTATACACAGTCATGTGTAGATTTTGACCACCAGTCGAGTACGTAAACAGGTTTCCGATGAAATTTATTGCACACATGAAAATAGTTCAAGAATAAAACCGCTGCCAGTTACGTTTAATACGTTGGCTTGTGACAGGTGTCTTGGATCAGTTGAGACCGAGTGGCGATTTAAATCACTGATGTGAGCGACAGACTGATCAAAGATCAAATGTAAATCGCCAGAAGATAAGACTGTATTGTTAAATGTTTTATCAGTTATATATAGAAAGTTATTATATAGAAAAAATTATGTACTTATTTACAGTTAGTCTTTTTATAAAATAATCTGGAAGATCTGGGATAGAAGTTATTCGCTGCAGTCTTAACTATATTTTATATCGTGGCAAAATAGTGTCATCATATAATAAAATAAAGATTTAAATCTTAATATTAACGTGTTAGTGTTTTTCTGAATTTAAGTGTGATAAATTTATCTTCATAGCGGTGTCTTCTAGTAACGTGGTAACCGCAGAAAAAGTTGAGTTTCTCCACTCAAAGAAATGACATGAGGAGTACCGTTATGATACGGAATACCAGACTTTCAAGTAATATAAATGAAGCGAAACAAGAAATGCTTGTTCTCAAAATTACTACCATGCAATAATAAGCTAACTGCTAGACACCGTTATTTGCGTCATGAAAACGATCGGTAATAATTACACAGCAAAAGGATGATATACCGGAAAATTAGTACAAAAGGCTTCAACATATTCCATTTCTTACGATTTTTTGTCATAAATAAGAAGAGATTTATGTTTAGTTATGTTTATATTTAGAATGTATAAAAAATGTGTTTTAAATTTCTATTTATGTAAAGCAAATTTATTTCCCGATTACTCTACTATTACTCTTGACACTTTTAATTCTTTTACGTATATTGAAATAAACATAATACGAAATAGTATACGTTCATCATTAAAAAATAAAAGAATATTTCACGGTTCTTATGATGATAATTATCTATTATTAAAGCGCGTTACGCTCGAAGGAACTGACTTCATCACATCTTCATATAACTTTTTTCATTAGTGATATCAAGAGATATCACGAGAAACTAAAAGTTTAATCAGCAATAAATAATGTTGATAATCAACAAGAATCAATAGAAATACATCATTTATATATCCTATTTCTGCCTATTTTAAAACATAATAAAATTTTCATTGGTAACGAGCAACAAGTTTGAAATGATAAATGAGAGTAATTAATTTAGGCCGGTATGCATAGTCAGATCTTATTTCAAGACCGTCTTAAGTAATATCTTAAGATGCTATAATACGGCTCTGTGATTGGTTAATGACATCTTAAGATTGTACTTAAGATAGTCTTAAATGTAAGAACCGATTATAATACCGGCCATAGAAATATAATTCGCGTAAATCTATTTATATTTTTCTGAGACATTTGCAATTTCAACTGGAAATTCATTATCAGCAATATATATTGAATCATAATATCATGTCATGCGACAGTCGATATTTTCAGTAATATCGCATGGAATAATGCTTCGTCATACTAAAGGCAATACATCGTACTAGGTTTATGCGCGATATCTTCAATCTTTCCTCGCGTTGCTACTTGTTTTATAATCCGATGATTATGTTTTTATTGACGGTCTTGCATAATTTTCCAGTCAAGAGTGCTGCAAAGACTTCAAGAGCAAGTTATATAAATAGTAAAAAATGCTAAACATAGTTATGTAATTTAAGCAATTCTCATATGCATA